TCGGAGGAGGATACGGTGGCTTCGGAGGAGGATACGGTGGCTTCGGAGGAGGATACGGTGGCTTCGGAGGAGGATACGGTGGAGGATACGGTGGCTTCGGAGGAGGATACAGACGTTTTGGGGGATTTTACGGCTAGAAAGGATTTGCCTACCATGGATAAATCTCATGTTTATGTTAATGTTCACTGTCTTTTGATATCGATGAAGATTCTTGTATAAATGTTTAAAAATTTCTAGTTCGTGCATTTTTCCATGATGTATGTAAAAAAATAGTTTCAAGCATGATTTATGTTCTAAAGGGTTCGTGCATGTTAAGCATAAGCCAGAACAGTTAAAGTTAAATGAAATGTCTATTCAATGGCTTTTGTTCATTGGCTTCTTTCATGTCTTTCTGTTCATGCTATTTACACTTTGTCTCATAGATCATAGATGTTTGTATCCTCTGCCTACTTTTTTATTAAAGTTGCTAAGTGGTATTGCATTATAACTGTGGGGTTGTGTTCTTCTGTTGACTTCCTATTTCTTGTGTTACTGTTAGAGGATAAAGCCAATTGTCTTGTTGAAATAGCTCAAATGTGTTATAGCTTTCCTGCCCCTTTGAATATTCAGGATATAGTGGCACAGTGAGACTGTTCAACTATTTAATGTTAAAATGCAGAATCTTACAAATTTACCTTTTGTGTTCTGAGACACATGAAATACAATTTTTCTTTCCTGTCCAGCTCTAATACAGTTCTCCTGGCAACTTGCATAACCTAAGCAAGATAACTGCCTGTAAACTTAAAACATTCCAAACCCAAATTGTCATCTGAGCAGGGTCAGTCGGAATGCAGTCAAAGACCAATTACTTGTGTGATTCACGAGGTTTTGTAGAGGCATCAGGATAACGTGCAAGAGTATGTGTAATAAAATACCCAAATTCTTGATCCTCTTAGAATGTTAAATTTTAATTGCATTTTTAAGTTTCTGTTGAAACCAAGACGTTTCTACACACGTTCACGCACGTTGGTGTTCTCACTTGCCACTTTATTTAACACTAAACAGGTACACATCTTCAACCCATCTTATCTGCAAGGCGAATATTTATCGGTGTGTAAGGACTGCATCTTCAAGTGATGCATAACAACAAACCCATTTTCATCTTTTATATGTTTAAATATTTCTTATGTCTCTAAGTTACCAGCAGGTTGCAGTGGTCACTATTCCCAGCGTGCTGTTAAAATAGATCTGCAATATGTAGCATCAGTTGCCCTACAGTCACACTTGCAGTATTACAGTGATACCAAGTTGTTCAGATGCTATAAGTAAGCAGTTTTTGAAGGTGAAATATGAGGCACTTGATGCTTGCCGGTTTGGGCCATTCGCTGCCTGTCCTCTTACTCCTGGAAATAGATCTAGTGGTTAGATATGTCCTAAAGTTTTGAGAAGTTTTGCAGGTCTCTTATTCTATCACAGGAACCACTATATGTGTATGTGCTGCACATATATGACTTGGCGTTTATGTTGGAATTACACTTCTTAAAGCCGCACAATGCGCATCCAAACGCTAATTTCTCCAGTACTAGACTAGCAAATACTTCGTGTCATGCATATTCTCTCTACCTTATGGCAAAATAAACTCTAGTTCCTCCCATTTCACTGCGCGTTTGCCTAAACCCCACAAGAAAGAGGCGCGAAATCTGGTAATCTGGCGCCAACGCCGACTTGTTTGCCAAACAATAATATTTAGCCTCGAAGCGGTTAGGTGACGTCACATGTTTTTATCTTTGCTACACCAAGTTTTAGCGATACCTATAAAAGTCTAATAGTGCGGCAGATACGTGAAATAATTGTGCATTTTGTGGTAAAAGCACCAAATTTGGTACAGACATTGCTTAATATATACTTAACAAATTTGGATATTATGCCAAGCTCAATTTTTTCCCTGGGGCCCACAAATAGCAAAATCCAAGATGGCCGCCATCCGATACCGGAATATCTTAAAAATGACATATCTTTGTGACAAAATGTCGTGCAAACATGAATAAAGTGTCATTTTCTATGTTTTCATACATTCTGAATCCATTCCAACCACAAACGAGTTGATGAAATGCACCTATTTGCGTAAATCCAAGATGGCCACCGTGCCTA